GACTGGTACAAGGCTGGGTACAGGGAGTAAGTTTAAGAATTAGATATGCAAAAGTACGACCCTCATTTCTCCTGAGAATGGAACGGTCTTGTTTTTCAGTAATGGTGAATATAGCATCGTTGTCAACGGCAAGCCTTACAAAGTCTACTGCGACATGCAGACGGCCGGAGGCGGATGGGTCGTGTTTCAGAGGTTCCAAAGAGCTACGCAATTTTGAACAGAACAACTTCTGATGCTCTCATACGAAAATTAAGGGTTCTCAACCGACAGTAGAGGGTCTTTTCCCCAGATTTTCCCAAAGATGCATGAGTGCGGACTCTTGACTCCTCAGTTCTTAGTGGATCACGGCTTTAGGAATCTCATCCCTTACTTTTCGTGACATGTAGATTTTCTCTACCACTTACTGATTGGCATATACGGAATTTAAGCTCATCTTACTAATACTTGTCAGCTGCGGTGAACAATTTCCAAAACAGAAAATTACCTTGAGAACATCCTCTATCGACATTCGAATTGCAGAAGAGTGAATGGCAGTGACTCGTTCTGGGATCATAGCTGGACGGAGTATAAACATGGATTTGGAAAGATTGGGAAGGTGAGTCGAAGTAGACTAAAATTTACCAGGGTTCTCATCCGATATGATCGTTCAACTGTCCAGAACACTACTTTCTGGCTGGGTAACGAGGCTCTTCATCAACTCACTTACAAGGACCCCAATGTGACATTGAGAGTTGAAATGAGAGGCGACAGAACGCCGAACGCAAAGAACCCCAATGGATTCTGGTGGAATCACTACTTCAAATTCCGGGTATGTAACATGTTGTTATGACAGTTGAATTTCTGGTCCTACTGATTAACACCAAAACTATTAAAACGAATTATAATGTTGAGGTAATGCTTGCCATCCCTTCAGGGAATGACCGGGTTGTATCCGCACTTGAAATCAGCACCATAAGAGAAAGTGAAAGAGTAAAACACAACGAGGAAATGGGAAAAATGTGGTCTTATAGGAACTGTGACGGTTCTAGAAATTGTAGTTGTATTTCTTTTGG